CGCTTCGCCGAGGTGCCGCCCGCCCTGCAGGGGCTCCGCGGGCTGCAGAGCCTCAGCCTCGGCGGTAACCGCCTCCACGGCATCCCGCCCGACATCCAGGAGCTCCGCAGGTGAGGGCAGGGCGCCGGGCGGGCCGGGCCGGTCCCCCCCTCTCCACCAACCCCCCCAACCCGAGCCTCTGCCCCGGGGGGACACGACAAGAAAAGCCCCGGCAGCTGCCAGCCAAACCCGACCGGATTTTCTGGCCGCTGCTGGCAGCATGCCTCGTGTCTCCCGCTCGGGGAGCGAGTTTTGTCGGGCCTCAGGTGTCTCTGTAAGCACTGCTGCTGCTATAACGTGTCTCTTCCCCCTCGTCAGGTTGGGTTACCTGAGCTCAAAGCCGCTCTTCGAGCGGTCGATGGGCCTTCTGCGCTCGCCACGTGGGCGACTCTTTCAGGATTTCCTCGTCCTTGGGCTGCCTCGGCGCAGGGGAGGCTCTCCTGATGACGGTGTGGTTGGTACGAATGTTGACGTGCGGCAGGCACTCTGCGGCTTTGCTGTGATACAGATCTCTAGGCGAGAGCAAAATAAAACCCCTGGTCTCATGTGGCTCATGGCTGCACGATGGGTCGCAAAGGAGGATAAAGATCTGGTTGTGGCTTATGCAAACAATAGGGCCTTTCTGCTGATACGGCTCCGGTCGCATCAGGGTACTTGCTGGCATGGATGGGTTTTTGTTGTAGTTCTCTCCACCCATCCGGCTCACGTAGATCTGACAGATCAGCTGATGGATCTTCTGAAGTGTAGAGCCCTAGGCTGTCTGTGCTCAGGTGCGGTGGTATGTCTGGCTCTTGGGCTGGATCAAACCACCGTAGGCCGGTGGCATAGAAACCTATGGCTGAATCACGGCAGTTAGGAATGTTGGTGAGGTGGGAACAGATCTTAGGCAGGACTGGGTATTGACTGCCTGGATTGACCTGGGATAGGTACTTCTGAAGCTTTCCATCCTCCTGAGCCAGCCAGAGGCCATGTTCTGGCTCGCATGTTACATGCAGGCACCTCGGTGTGTTCTGCTGGTTTCTCAAGCCTCAGACTAGCCCCTCTGTGGCTCTCTGCGAAGACTTTGGGTCTGAACTTTCTTTACTCCAGCTCTTTGCCAAGGGGCTTGCCAGAGGCAGCCTCTCTTACGCAAATTCCAGCAACCTTGACCCTAAGTAGCTGGATTCGCCCTGATGGCTTAGCAGAGCTGCATCCAGCGGAAGCACGAGGTGTTGTATGCGGGGTGCTGTCTCCCATGGCCCTAGGCTGGAAGTACCAGAACTGCTTGAGTGCTGGTGGGAAACGGTTTTGTCCACTGCAATATAATACAATTGGGTATGCGGCTTTTGCCCGGATGGCACAGCATGCACCTGTTGAGGATCTGGAGCACGTCTGGGTTAAGCTAAGTTTGAGAGATGCTATGAGGCATTTTGAGTGCTAGAGAATGCACATGTCCGTCTTGGCAGAGTTGGGATGCGTCCTGGGTTGGGGCTCTCATAAGGAGGAGAAAACTCAGCTTTCTCTCTGTTCAGGAGCAGTTGCTTCAGGGATAACGAAGGAAATGAGAACAGTGGCACCAGCTTCATGGGAGGCTGGTGGAGGAGGGCAGTTGTGTGTGGGAGATGATCCACGTTGCCTCCATAGCATGCTTGGTAGCATCCAGGATGTGGCTGGGATCTGATTGTTGCACCGACCTCTGAGGCAGAGGCTCCCGGCTGCTGCTTAGATGCTCTCATCTGTGGTTATGGTTTCTCTATCTCTCTTTTTTCTTTTTTTTCCCCTCAACAAACCTCAGTCCTGCTTTTTGTTACGCTGCTGACCCTGAGAAGGTACCAGGCTGCGTAGCCTGGTACAGGCATGTGGTGCCCCAGTGGGCTCTGTGCTGTGCTCTCCATGCTGCACCACTGCCAAACTACTGCTGCATGGTTACTCTGCTTTGTTCCTCTGGCCTGTCCTGAAGCAGGCCTCCTGTTTGTCCTGTCCTGCAGCTCTTCTTGGGCTGGTTGTGCTTGAACCCCAGAATGACAATTCTGAGAGGGCAAATGCGGACAAGGCTATTGAACTGTGTGTTTATCATCACAAAATGATGTGTCAGGTAGAAAAACGAGACTAGACGCAGCTTGTGTCTGCTGCCCACGTAATCACTGCTAACTCGTTGAACTTCTGCTAATGTGTCACCATAATATAATTGAACTTTAGCTCAAGATAGCGAATCCGTGCCCCACCGGGATTGTCAGCTTCTTTACCACTATGCCATCAGTGACTCTTGTGTATCTGGGTCTGCTTAAGTAACAAAAGGGAGCAGCACACTTGCTTGCAAGAGCTGGGAGAGAACAATACTTTATAATCTAATGTTCCTCCAGAGGGAATCCTGAATCTACTCATTGGGAGCCAGATAACCAGTGACCTGAAACCCTTGCCAAAAAGATAGTAGATATGCACTGGAGAGTAGCTGCTGCCAGTCCCTCTTCCCATCTGCCACTAACAGAGGTGTCCAGAGTGTAAGCACACATAGTGTTGAAGTGGGTAAAACGAGCCTGAGCAAGGGCAGAGCAGAGCCCTTGGGCAACACGGACACATCTCTTCATTTCTGAACTCCGGGCCAGGAGGTGGGACCTGGCGTAGGTACAGGGGCTTCTGTTAACCTCACAGCTCAAGCTGCAAGTGTCCATCTCACTGTTGCTGGCAAGACAAGACTATGAGCCTTTTTCTGTATGCAACTTCCCATAAAAGAAATTTTTCTTGTGTCTTGTGGTCTCTGAGACCACAGAGGAATGCATGTAGCACTTTGACCGGACACGTTTCTCCTGCTGGTACTAGAGTTCCTGAGGCCAGCAGTTCTCTTCTTCCCGTGACCCTGGCAAACTCCCATTTGCCCCAGTCACTGATTATAGAGTTGAGCAGAGTTGCAGAGATCTATAAATACTTCTTATGTTTCCAGGGAATGTCTGAGCTCTGATGAGATTTAAAAAAAAAAAATTTGTGATAACTAAGCCTCATGTCTTTCCTCTATGCCCCACAGTTTCCTGTTGTAGTTTTTGAAGGGGTAGCACATCAGTTTTAGTGAAGGTCAGGAATACAGCAGGTAAGGAGCCTACGCAGTGAAGTTGAAAGAATAGAAAGCTGATGGGTCCGATCTGCCGAAGGAGAAGGAACATGCTGGCAACTGCAAGTGCAAAAGCACTGGAATGAGAGACGTGTGCCGTGTGTTGTTAATCACATGAAGACAGTAATTCCACAACTTTGCAGCAAGCTGGGGTCAGGCATTTTGTGCAAAACCTTTTCTCTAGCATGTTCCTAGTGATTTGGCAAGTTAAGAAACAGCAGTAAGAACCGCAGACAGTCCTGCTGCTGTCTTGTCTTACTCCCAGCCTCAGCATCTGCCCCATCCTTGCCCACACAAATCTTTGTGTGCAGTGCAAGATCCTGCGTGGAAGGTGAGTGTCTTTCACCTGATTATCAGTTACCTCCTAGGCTGTTGTAGAGGGACCACCTATAGATGTTCTGATGCTTGAAACTTCCTTCATTGACATGGCTTTGTAAGCGGATGATCATGATTGCTCTGGTGATGGCAGCAGGATGCTGCTGATCATAGCGTGCTGGCACCAAGAATGAATAGCCTTTGCATTAGGAAAATGCAGTACTCTTTCCTCCTAATGCCACTGTAAGCGTCTGTGGTGACCTGCAACAGCCTCTTATGTTTCTGAGAAAGGTAAGCGTGGACCCTGCTGAGGGCTTTTTTTAATCATGTTGAGGCTGTGCCAGCTCCTTCTGTATGCCCACCACCCCCAGTTACTGTCAGCTAGCAGTGTGAGTATGATGCAAGACCTCAGTTGCAGCACTGGCCGTTGCTGTGAATTTAGAGTAGAAAATGCACCAGATGGGTGAGAGCAGCCCTCTTTGCTTTGCTTTGCTATTTGTTGCCAGATAAAAGATGAGCTTAGCATAGGTAGACATAAGTGTCATCTTTTCTGTAGTTCTTCCTCCAACATTGACCTTGCTGTGTTTTCGGTGTGAGATGTTATGGTCAGTCACTCTCTCAGATTCCATTCACAGCCCCCAGCAGCTCCTGAACTGTGATCTGTGTAGACATCCCACTTCTGCGTTGGCTGTGTGTATCCTTCCTCTGCTGATCCAGCTGGGGATGCGCTAAGGGGCAACATGTATTATAGCTGGTGAGCTAGAAACGTGGTCATCTACTTGTGTCCATTCTGGACAAAATTTGTTTGACAAGTCTGGTAAAATACAGCTCTGATCTTCACTGTCTAACTGTGGCTTTTGGCTTAAGGGTGCATCGATTGCCCTGATCAGCGTGCTCGCTTGGGGAAATGTCTTGCAAGTGCCCCGTAAAGGGAAAAATTCTTAACAGCTTAGCGAAAGGCAATCGATACCTTGGCCCTCCCGATGTGAATTTTGAGTTTAGTCTTACTCTTCTAGTGAATACTGTTGCGCTCAGTAGAGTGCCAGGAGCAGGCGGAAAGAGCGTGGAAAAGAGCCAGGCTCCTTCCAGGCGTCTGCCGTGCATGCTCCTTTCCTTCTTGCTTGGATTCCTCTAGTAAAACCCAGTTGTGCAAGGGCTGGGATCAAAGGCCTCAAACGCCTAACTGGATTCACCCAAGTTTTTTGTAAAGTCTTAGATGCTATGAAAACCAGAGTATTTGCTTTTATTCGTGGGTAGTATTAAGCATGTTAGACAAGCATGCACTTAAGAATGGCTGTTACAGTGTGGGAAAAACGGCAAGTGAGGCTTTGATAAAGATACAGCATTAGGAAATCTGTTTGCTGCCTCCCTTTTTCTTCCCCTCTTCAAACGTTTTGCAAATAGTTTTCAGACAACCGTTTGATCTTAAATTTGCTTGTCAGCAAAGGCTATGCAGTTCTCTCAGGAATTAGCAAATCGTAGAACAGGGTTAACAGGAGTGTATTGTGGGCTGCTTTTAAATTCCTCCCTTGCATGAGCCTCAAAACTGCCTGGAAATTTCTTGCTAAAAAGTTTATCTTAAAAAGACCTGGAGCTATTTCAGGCTCATTGTTTCTTTTTTAGATTACCTGTTTAGATGCATCTGTTTGATGTCAGTGGTTGAATTTTATCCAAAGAAGCATCTGTGGGGAAACAGGGTGGATTGAAAATTTGAGTATCTTCTACGCCAGAAGACATTCTCGCCTTGAAACATGACTATGAAAGTTATCATGGTAATTGATAGGGTATCAGAAATACCTCTAGTGCTCAGAGTGGGCTCTTCTTAGTGTTTTGGGGCTTTTTGATTTGTTTTGTGCTATACGATGACCTGGAAACCTCAAGAACATACTCAAGCAAGAATGTACATTCTGTTGGCGTGTTAAACTTTGCTGCCACCACCTGAATCAATTCATAGTTGTTTGAGCATTCCCCCATGCCCTTTCCATATGTAAAAGGATTCACACGGCCACCCTACAGCCCTGTGGTGTGAAATCCCCTGCTAGAGAGGAACGACACGCGATGGGCTCGACGTGCTGGCTGCTGCTTGGCCGCAATTAGTACTGGCTGCGCTGAGCGAGAAGCCTGCTGGATATGAGGCTGAAAGGGACTCTGGCCTTTTATTAGTGTATTTGTAAACATTTCTAAAAGGCAGGGAAAGTGTCAGCCCCTGTCAGTTACTCTGTAAAATGGGAGGGTTTTTCAGTTTTTGTTGAGATGGATTGTGTCGGTGTTTTTCCCTTCTTGAAACTTGTTCAGCCAGAGCCTGTGTGGCAGGTTGGAAGTACATCATTTATTCTAGCTTCAAAAATAGGAACTGAGCTTACGTTCGTTTGAGGCTGGTTGCTCTCTGGCTTTTCTAAGTTCCTGGACTGACTTCTGAAAGTACAGAAAAATTCCAGCTCTCCCTCTGTGTACACAGTGATGCATGAGACCTTAGCTGGCTGGTCCAAATGACTATACAGATTAATGATTGTCAGAAAAACTGGGTCTTGGTGTGAAAGGTTAGTTAGAAGTATTCACTAAGCTCAGTCCCGTCTCTGCTGTGGTCCTCATGTGAAAAACTATGGTAAACGGTGTGGCTTGCCTCGTTGCAGGCTCTTTTGTGAGGAGGGCAGAGCTCAGCAGTGCTTTTGCTCGTCTTACCAAGCAGCAAACTGCTTTCTGAGTAGGACAGCTCGAGACTCGGCATTGCCTTGGCCTTTAGGTACGGCTTTAGCGCGACGTGAAAATCAGGCCAGGAGTAGATGAGCTGGGAGCGAACTGTGGCCGTTGAGCGCTCGTTACAAAAGGGTTGTGTCTCTGGAAAATCCTTGCCTGTGTCATGATTAGCTTTGCTCAAACAATTCTTGACACTTTAATTTGATGCAGAAATGACTGTTGTTAATTTCTCCATCTTGCTGAGCCAAGACTGGGCTAGATCCTTCTTTCTAGCAAATTGTATTTTGGGGGACGGGAGTTATAGATTTCTTTTGCCTACTGAGCAGTGTTTCAGTGGAAGCTATCAGAATATCTTTGCTATATTTAAAATCAGTTTCTTTATAGTTTCAAAGCCTCTTCCCTGTGCTTTTTTAAGAAATTTATCATCTAATTCATATCTTAAGTTGATGTTGGAAATTCTGAATTTGCTGTACTAGACTGGACCCGGTGAGTTGTTAGTCTACCAACCTCAAAAAGATGATTCAGAAGATAGGTACAAAGAAAACAATTTTTAAGAAACCCATTGTTGCCGCTGAAGGGGAGTTACCTTATTTAGTGGATTTTTAGTTAGAATCAGCTTGTAGTCTGATGTTGGGGCTTTATATCCTAGCTAGTATAACTGAGTGTTCTCATTACACAGACTTTACAAAGAACAGATTTGAAAGCTGTAAGTAGTTTCTAGGCAGTGTTTTTACAGTTTGTGTAGTAAGCTGCTCTTGAAACTTAGGCATTTCATGCCTTGAAATGAATTTCCAAACCATCTTTTACCATATATTTTGCACCCCTCTTCCCCTTCCCTGGTAGTATGGTTTTTTACACAATGTGGCTTTATGGTCATTGTTGTCTTAAAACACAGAGGATGAAGAGTTAATTATTCACTTTTCCTAGGAAGTGGAAACTTGTACATGTCTAAGCCTTGTTTAAACATTGAAATCCACGTTACTAGAATTCCCTTGCCCAACAGTTTTCAGTGTGGGCTCCAGCCATGGCATGGAGTTAAAACATGCCTAGGAATTGTATGGTCAGCAGTTAAGTCCCTAATGAGAGCCAAGCAGCCTAAATCCACCTTGGGAAACAATGGAGGTTGCAGAAGGAATTTTGGTTAAAACTTGGGGCTTTGTTAGGGGATCAAAATTTAATTAAAAATAATCTCCCCTTGATGTAGTCTCTGCACAGCAGCCTTCCTCCTACCCCCACTCCTCACCTACAGGTTGTCTGTGCAGAAGAGAGGCTGCTTTTGAGCAGTGGGGTTTCGGTGGTGGGTTTTTTCCTGGCTGCTTTCTCACATGTTCAGAATGACTTCCAAATGTGCTGTCCCACTTGATCTCTCAGCTGAAGCAAGTGTAGTTCTTCCTTTCATATACTCAGATTCAGTTTAAGGCTTAATTTTGTGCCCACTTTGTCAAATTTCAGTTATTTAGCTTACCTCTGACATACTCCAAACAGGTGAGTGAATCCGGGGGATGTTAAGCTCTGTGAGCTTCTCCTGGTATGTTGCAGAGGTCTGTCGTTCTGTTCTTCGCTGTTAGGCAGATGGACCTTTGTGCTGTGTTAGTGGCCCCCGTAGCCCAAGCAGATGCTGTCACTGGATCTTTGGGGTTCAAGTTTCTTGCAAGAACTGAAGGAAATAGTCTCTTTCTACCATTCTTCTGCTCCATCCCAGGGAGAACCTCAGAGAGGAGCTTCTCCAGCATTCCACACGTGCTGGGGCACAGTTGCAGGGTTCAGACCTTCTCCGGGTCAACCACCATGTCCCTTGAGTGGTTTGGTTGTGTGTTTCTTTGCCAGTTGTATCCATAGCCTTTCTCAGTTGCTGGGGTGAGATGAAGGTGTCTCCTATTCCGAGTAGGTCATTAGCTGTTCTTAAAGAAAGGGTGATGGAGCCTGGATGACTTCTCTTTCCCTTACCTGCGGGGAATGCTTGGTGGATCAGAGAGGGCCAATATACACTGTAGTTGGGCAGCTAACCTGAGTATGTACCAGAGATCTTGAACCAGCACCTGCAGACAGGACCAGGGGATCCACCTTTTTCAGGCATTGGAAAAAGTATTGTCTGGACCGTGATTAGCAATGGTGTTGCTTCCCAGCCAGAAGTACCGAAACTGAACCTGCCTTTGCTCCTCTTCCAGGCAGCGTCTGAGAACAGGGGAGGAAAACTATTTGACTCTGTGAAATGGGGACTTGAAGCTATTATGTCAAAGAGAAGTGCTTGCCAATTTTTCTTCCTAGAAGGACAGAGATGCACAGCAAATACTGTCTGCTCCATCTGGCAGAAGGGATCTAGTGCCTCTCTTTGTTCCTGTCTCCCATCCACTGAGTTTTCACAGGATGTCCAGTGACTTTTTTTATTTATTTTTTATTATTATTTAAGCCCAAACTACGGTTAAGTCTTGCTAATGTTTTTGGTAGCTTTGGGCTCCATGACTTCAGTATACTGAAATCAATCTGAGAAATTGCATGCATGTGCTTGTGTGACTTAGATGTGCTCTGTGCTGTTGTGGCTGTGGTGTTCTCCGTATGTGAATTGTATCAAAGTGGGACTGGCTGCCTCTGACTTCTGCTGAAAGGTTGCAGTTAGTCATGGAGGAGTCAAATGATACCATAAAGAGCGACTAGCGCCTGTGCAGGGCCAGGATTTTCAAGGAGAGCCACTGCTCTCTTGCTTTGCTCCTATTGAAACTGAGAACTCCCACTGGCTGCAGCAGGAGCTGCGTCAGTGCTGCAGACCCTGCGTGCGCAGGCTGCTCCTCCTTGGACATAGGAGCAGGAGCTTTGCATCTGGGGTTGGTGTAGGAATACATAGTTGTCTGGTGCCTACCTACAGGTGTAACGGTGACTGCAGGAGGCTGGAGGTAAATTTTAACATTATCTGTTGTGAAACAGCAGCTCTGTTGTAATTTTGATGTGCAACTCAGCTTTTTTTTTTTTTTTCCCCCTCAGCAAATTATCTTATGCACAGTCATCTGTAAGTTTTCTTTAAGAAATGGCAGGAGATGACAAGACCTAGTGTTAAATGAAACTGAAAATTACCTTAATGAAATAATGCAGTGTTTTCTCTTCTCTTTTTCAGTTTAGAGTTTCTATACCTTGGAGGGAATTTCATTACTTCAATTCCACCTGAATTAGCAAACCTGCCTTCTCTAAGTTATCTAGTTCTGTGTGACAACAAGATCCAGAGCATTCCACCTCAGCTGGCACAGTGAGTATTTACTGTCATCAGCCACCAGCTGTAACTCTTGACTTTTTCTCCTGCATGTGTGGATAAAAGCACCTGGGAGGACCTATTTGTCCTTCAGTTTGTTAATGTGACTAGACTTGAATGAGAAGATCCTTAGCATGGTGCACTGCGGGCAGACCATGAATATATAGTATGGAAATCTCAATCAAAGGGTTATGGGGAAAAAAAATGTCATCAAGTATACATTTTAAGGTAAATAAATAGATTGTACAGGGAGCCCTGAGAAGTACCTGGGCAACTTGGAAAAGATAAACTGCCATGCTACTGTATTCTTAGTGATGAATGCTTGGTCTGTTTTGTCTTTCACCCAAAACCTTTTTGTGTGTGCTTTTGTGTTGTACCATCCTCTGTGTTCCCTTGGCATTTCTTACTCTAGGATCTCAGAATGTTTTCGTGCTGGTTAAATCCTCAAGCACAGTTCTAGAAGATAAGTTACTGCTTTGTCTGTTTCATAATGGGGAAAAGAGGACACTGCAAACTCTGTACGGGTAGCCTAAGATGGGAGGTGAAGAATTCAGTGTGTAGCTGTAACCCCAAAAGCAACTGAATGGCAGCACGGAGTTTTCTGAGTTGGAATTTGATGGTGTAGTGGGATTACTCTTGATGTACAATGTCCAGTTGTTTTGTAACTTGTACTGGTCTGAGAGCATCCCTGGACACTGCGCTGCAGCATTGCTTTGTGCTTCCTGAGAGAGGAGAATGCCTCCTCCAAAAGCCAAAAAACTGCTTGTCACCCATGGCGATGCTAGCCTGGCCTGACCTTGCGTACCTTTTGAGATCTAATAGTATCACAAAGCAAGGTGGTGCAGCCACATGCAAAGAAAACACGGGGTTTTCCAGGGTTGGCTGCCTACCAGCAATCATCTTTAATGCATGAGTGAAAGCAGGTGACTTATTCAAACTATTGCACAGAACCGTTCTTGATGCATGCACTGGGTACAAGGAAACATTATCTCCCCTGAAAGCACTCAGTTTGTATACTTTTGTTCTGTGCTACCTTTTTTGGGGTATGTGTGGGGGGGCAATACTGAGAGGGACAGCAGCATATTTAAGACTGTATTTCTTTAACAGGCATTCCAGAGCTGAGCCAAGTTTTCTAGGGCATTGTGTGTGCTGGAGTAACAGCAGCTCTTTTAGCATGAGTTTATGCTTTAAAAGGAAGAAAAGCCAAGGAAAAAGAAACTGGTGGGAGAGGGGAGAGTAATCGGGTCTGTGGAACGCAGCTGCGGAATGATTTTGCTTGCACATCTTGACTGGGTTTCCATCTCCATCCTCAGGCTGCATTCCCTGCGCTCCCTTAGCCTGCACAATAACCTGCTGACTTACCTTCCTCGAGAGATCCTTAACCTGGTTCACCTGGAAGAGCTGAGCTTGCGTGGGAACCCACTGGTGGTTCGCTTTGTCCGTGACCTGACCTACAATCCCCCGAGCCTTCAGGAACTGGCTGGACGCACAGTTAAAACTCGCAATGTTCCCTATGCTCCCAGTGATCTCCCGGAGAATCTTGTCCGGTATCTGAGCTTGGCCAGCAACTGTCCCAATCCTAAATGTGGGGGTAAGTTCACCGCTCTGATTCCTGCTTTTACCTGATGGGTTTTCTTTCCCTTTGACTTGCCATGACTTTAGTAGCTCAGTCAGGTTCGATGTGTTGTTCACTTAGAAACAAGGTTCGAAGTTGTAGTGCTGGTTTGCTCTATTTGCATGGGATTGTAAGACAGTATTTCTGTTGGAGTCTTTGCAACTCATCCCAGCACTCCGCTATGCTTTTATGGTCTGAAGCTTCCAATCCGTCTGCCCCGAAGTAGTTCAGAGTAAGTAATGCACAGGAGAACTTTTGCAAGCACTCTTGCTGAACAGCAAGCTTCATTTCTGCATGGAAAAGAGGAGAGAGGCTATAGGGCTTGGCAATTACCAAGAGCAACTTGTTTAGCTCTTGCTTGGGACTACTAGCGTGTAGTTCCTGGAAGGAGAGGACTTCATAGAAAAGCCTGGAATGCTTGGCCTTAATTTGGTTTAATGCTTAATCTTTATCCAGAGTAAACGATCTATGCGTTTAGCCTTTAGAAGATTAAGGAAAAAAATCATTAATTAGTATCTACCCTGCAGTCATAACGCAGGCTGTTATCTTATCTCCTTACAGGACAATATCAAAGCATGCTCTGTAAGCAAAGGCAGAAGGGCTGGAACTTGTGTTGAAAGGGAAAGAAAGGTTTCCTTTTTTAGAGCTTTGCACAGCTTGGATAACAGTGGATTGGTGTTGCTCTTTTTCACTTTTCCTTTTGAACTAGCACAGTGCTGCAGTGTTGCTCTAGCACTGCAGGAGAAAAGCTTACTCCAGACCAGCTAGGACTTAAAACACCGCTGGAAGCTTCTGAAAACGTCAGTGTCTGAAATGGCTTGCTGTGAGGGGAAGAGAACGTAATTGTGTGTTACAGCAACACTGTTGCCATGGAAAGTACCATCCAAACTCAGCATGGTGACTTCACTCAAGCAGAAGAAAAGTAGAGCTATGAAGGGCTATTTGTGAACGCATTTTTGCTAGCTGGTACAAGAGGTTTTACAAGTTTGAAAATAGAGTGGATGAATTAATTTGACATTTAAGAAGTCTGCAAATTTCCAGCCTGATATTTCTTCCCTAATGGTTAGAAGAAATTGCCAAATTCTTTGGAAGTAGGTGCCCTGTGTCCTTTCATGTAGAGTGTGCTGTTTTGAATCGCCTACCAAATACAGTTCTACAGGAGTTGGGGGTTTTTTTGTGAAGAAAAGAAACTTCACATTTTCATAGGTGTCCTGGTCCCTTCTCTTCCTCCAGTATCCCTTGTGCTTCCGCATTCAGTGCAGTGTCAATTAAATCCTAATTTGAGGCATTTGCACCAGCTGCAACAACCTTGTAAGGTTTACGGATTTCTCCGCACGGTGTCTCTCATGTCGTTGCTGTTCCCTCTGCCCTTACAGGTGTCTACTTTGACAGCTGCGTCCGACAAATCAAGTTCGTTGACTTCTGTGGGAAGTATCGCCTCCCGCTGATGCACTACCTGTGCTCCCCAGAGTGCTCCTCTCCCTGCAGCTCTGCCTCCCAGAGCTCCACTTCCCAGAGCGAGTCCGACTCCGAGGACGAAGCCAGCGTCGCTGCGCGCAGGATGCAGAAAGTCCTTCTGGGATAATGGGGAGCGAGAGGGGAAGACGGGAAGGAAAACGTGTTTGAAAAGCAGTAATGGAACAGCGAAGCATGAGCCTCTGGGCTGAAGGGCTCACGAGAAACTGTCCTCAAGTCCATGTAAAGGGCAGAACATCTTAGCAAGCCTAGACTTGCTTGGTGCAGTGCTACTTAGGAGAACTAACTCGGTGGCATACTGCCTGTAGCATGCCTGGGGTTGTTAGAAACATCTCCTGTCTGGGAGACGTCCCCCCTCCCTCGTACGGGCTGGGGAGGGGGATTTGTTCTCACTGGCGGATTGAGAAGGGTTTTAATATATGACACTTCACTGGACTTCAGTCATCCTGCAGAGCAAAGGAGACTGTCCAGATCTTTTAACACTGTGGTAAATCAGAAACAGGCTAATGATGCCATGTGAGTATGTATGGGCCCCAATGTTTTATATAGTGTTTTGATTCTTGGCTGTCTCCTTTGATTTCAGTTACAGATTTTAGACCCATCCACTAGAAATGGGAGTTGTGTTGGGGTTTTTTTGTTCAGGAGTAGATTTTTCCAAACTCTGGTTATTCTTTCTTTGCCTAGAGGCGTAGGGTCCCTGTGCTGTTACAGATGTTACAGCCATCATAGAACTGAGCCACCTTTTTTTCTCCCTTGTTATACCAAGCTGCTCTTAGTGTTTCCTCCTAACTGTATTCATTATTTTTCCTTGCTCTGCCTCTTCCCATTACACCTGGAGCATTGCTGTCTTTATGGTGCCTTCAGAAAACAGACGAGTTGTGCTATTGAGACTTGGTATTACTTCAGACTTGTGACCGTACATGCCTATGCAAGGGACCAGATGCGATGCTCTGTATCATGTTTTTGAGACTCAGCTTGCTGGAGCATATCTGCTTTTATATCTGTGAATTGCAGGAAAGGTCTTGAGTGACATTTCTAACCAGCCATGTCCCCCTGCTGCAGGTAGCTCTGCTATGCTTGGTACAGAGTTACTTTCTGTCTTTAAGGTCATCTGCTTAAAGTAGGCAGCAGCTTAATGAATTGGAAGTACTGAGAGAAGTGCTGTGGAGAATGTTTTGTTGGTGTTTTTTTTTCCTTATTCATAACATGAGAGGAAAAGCCAGTAGGGAGGCTAAGGCGTGTTGTCCAAGCATCTTGCATGAGGTGGCTTTGAAACCTCTTCCTTATTTATTTGTTTGCATTTGCTCTTGTTAGAATAGCTTTGGCAGTCTGTTGGGTTGTTCAAATAACACATTCAGTTATCTTAAACTATGTTTAAAGGAAAGCTGCAGAAAATAGCTCAGATTTTCTAAGTATCAAATAGCTTATAAAAATTAGTATTATGAATTGGCAGGTATCTATAAATCTACTTTATGGGGCTGTTGTGTGTTTTGCTCAGTGAGAGCTGCCCCTTTATTAATATTTCATGGCAGACAGTCCTTTTGATGCAGTTTCAGCTTGAGCAAATCCAACTGTGCCTTCGAATGCATGAGCAGAGCAAATACATTGTGTTAAGAAGCTGAATGAACAAGAAAAACTTTTCTTAACCCACTTTGGTCCTAAGGGGGAAATTAAAAACCTGTGCTCCTCTCCTGCATTCAGAAAACGCAGGTACCTGTTTGAATATCTTATGGCAGCTCTGTGTTAATGGTCCTGTTTAATTATATTTGACACTTTATATATTAAAGCACTTTGATAATTCCACTCTTTTTAACTAACTTTAGTGATTTTTTTTTTTCAATTAGACTACATTATTTCCTTTAATGTGACCTGAAGAACGAGGTCTGTGAAACTTTGTACATTCCAGTCTGTCTTGGTGTGCAGGTTGAACTTCTTGCCTTGCATTTCCTTGGCAGCACTGCTCATTTCCCCAGTTTCCTTTGGAGAGAACTGGAATTTGGAAGAAATTATCTGGTTGTAAAATAGCACCCCGTCCATTATTAATCATTGCAACTTAGTCTGAAGATTCCACATACGCACAGATCCACAAGGAACTAAATTGCACGTGCTCTGTGCCTTTCCCAATAATTTTTTTTTAAAGTATATTTTTAAGACACAATAAGGTATATGTGCAAAGCAACTGGATGTCACTTTAGCAAATTCTGTGAGGTTTGCTTGGGAAAGAAGAACCTACAGATTTTGAGAGAAACCAACTGCATGCTGTTATTTAAATTGGGATCAGTGAGTGGCCTGTGTTTTGTTCTTCATCTCCTCTTTCAGATGCTTCCTCCTGTCCCAAGTGAATATCATCACACCAGTGCTGAAGGACAGTAAACTGATTGCAGAGCCACAATTTTAAATTGGCTGCTAGTGTAACAGTAGTGAGCAACTGAGTGATCTAGAGCTTGACTCTTCTGCCAGTGTAAGTGAGCCACACAAGTTGAGATCTCAAGATCTTCTGAGCTCAGGGCCATGAGGTACCACCTTCCTTTCTTCTCTTTAGCAGCAGCTGTCTTGAAGTCATGCATTTTTTCACTTCACAAAGTTAGATTTCACCACAGTTCCTGTTTGCACAGTAGCACCTCTCTGTGTGACGGGTTAAGACCAGTGGTGGCTGGTTCTAATTTAGCTCGATCTTAACTGCATTTTCTTTCCTAAGTGAACAGGCATCCCATTTCTGCCCCCATTTTAGTAGGGCCAATAGGCTAACCTTTTTTCACAGCTTCTTCACTGTAGCCAGATCAAAACTTGACAGCTTATGCAGTTGATATCTCTGTGCATTTTTTAGACTTGATAAAATGTCTTATCTCTTAAAAAATTTATATGTATTCCTGAGTATAGCTACCAGTTTTTCTTTTTTGCTGCTGGGCTTTAAAGTGCAATTCAAGTAAGTCAGAATTTAAAACTATCAAGGACTTGTAAGAAAAACAAACGGTGGGTTGGCTGTGGATTTGAGAGGACTAGGGATGCAGGTTTGTACTGTAGTGTCTAATGTACTGAGCGGGAGTCAAGTTTTTCCAGCAGTTGTTAGCCCCCTAAAGACTGGAAAATGTACTTGGCAATAAAATAGGTAAGACAAAACTTGAAGCTACACTGTTGGATGGTTCCTACTGTCCCCTTCTTGGGGGCCCTGAGAAGTAGACAGTGGTTTTGCCAGCATTATAGCTCTTTTTGTCAGTTTTAAACAGTGGATTTCAGTTCCTACAGATGCGTCTCTGAGTGAAGTCTTCAGTCAGTGTTTTGGTATCAGTCCCCTTGTTGCTGCAGCAGCCCAGCATGTCCGGCTTTTGAAACCGTTCTTGAGCTGAGACATGAGAGCGTGAAGCCGAGTTGCTCATTCCTTCTTCCCCGTGGGGCCCGGGTCCCTGCCTGCATTCATCCTCTGCCCCGCCGTCTCTCTGCCAAGGGGAGCTGCTGGTGCGTTTCTGAATGCAGGTACTTAATGTGAACAGTGGGGTCGTGTTAAAAAGAAGCAAAATATCAATTTGACTGGAAGCAACTTACACAGTTGCCAATTCTTTTATGTTTCCCTTTCTTTAGTAAGAGGTGAGACTTGAGGAAGTCAGTAATGAATATTTAAACATACTCTGGAGTGGCCAGATGCAGTTTTTCAGGGGTTTCTGTCCTGGTCATTTTAAGTCTTTGAAATCTTGTGTTGAATTATAATGGGAATTGGGGGGAGGGAGAGGAGAACCAGCTCCTTTTTGTTCCTTACTCTTGTTGGCAATAATGAATGGAAGGAATTTAATCCAATGAAAGTAATGAAACTTAATCCCTGCAATGTGTCTTTGTTACCCAGTTCAAAGAACTATTTTAACGCATCTTATTCACACGATGCCCTCCCTTCCCAACTGAAGATACTTCAAATAGACTACTTCAGAATGCACACTAATACAGCAGTAACTCTATCTTGGAAACCTTTCTATTGATTATTTCATCTGCCTCCCTGACTAGAGGATTGATCTTTTACTGACCTGAACATTAAGGGTAGAAAGGGTTCTCATCCAGCCCTCTTGCTGAATTTTTATCATGAGCATTTGTTTTAGGAAAAGTGCCTTATGTTTCTAAAAGTGTATTTTGCTAGGAATGTATGAATGTAGAATATCTCTAACAGTATTTCATTATGAGCTGTAAAACAAATTGTAAACACTAAACCAAAAATGTTATTTCTACAGTTGTCTGTCCATTATTTGCCGGCATCTCGATTCTGGTATTGCTTCAGGCAAAACCCTTGCAGAATTGTAAACATTAAAAATGGGGCTATACATGGTCGGGGAACAGATGAGATTTGACCTGTGCTGTGTAAAACCAAGAGTAGGTGAGACTTCCCAAGGGACTGCTGAAACTCCTGGCTTTTGGGGCCCACTTGTGACAAACCAGTGTGTGTTACAGACCAGACCCTCTTTTGCTTCTGGTATAGGGTTGCAGAAATCTGCTCCACAGTTTAAAGATAGAAGTAACTCACTGGCAGATAAATAGATGAACAAGAGAAGGCGGTGTCATGGTGGAGTTTTCCAGTAATACGAAACAGTTCTAAACTTCTTGAATTGTTTCTCTCTTAATGTGCTAACCTTGAAACCTGTAAATGACTTTCTGAATGTTAATTTTCTGATCATGTTAACTGGCTAATGTGTTCCCATTTCTTGTGTAATCCCATGTTTCCTCCTACATCCTGAAGAGTTTTTGTGATCTATTGCCAAAATGTTTCGGATCCTGCCGTGCAATTACCAGTTGTCAGTGCAGAAATGTGGTGTATTGGAAAATGGGACAGTGGGAAACAAGAATTACTCGATATTAACTTCAGCAGGAACTATTTCAGAGATGGTTCAACTGCATGTGTAATGAAAAACCTCTCCAATTATGCAGCAGCCCCGTTTCAAATAACATAAAATACTGAGGAATAAGTGACCTTGCCTGTAACAGCCAGGCTGAGAATGTTCCTGCCTCTTTTTGTTAACTAATTTAAAGATACCCTTTTCTGTGGCTTCTTAATACCTTTCTTATATTCGGAAACAAAATCACAGAAGTGCTGGTTCAAAGGAACCTCTGGTGGTCTCTAGGCCAGCCTCTTGATTTAAGCAGGACTATTGCCAGCACTAGTTGAGGTCGCTGTGGGTTTGTCTAGCTGACTCCTAGAAACTTCCAAGGGTGAAGAGTCCCCAGTCTCTGCCTCTGGTGCTGTCATTTCCTCCTGATGCAGAAGTCTCTCCAAATGTCCAACTTCTTCCTGACATTAGTTGCCTGTCTTGGCTTTCAAACTTTCTTCTCTGCTTTTAGCACTAATGCAATGAGAAGAGTGTGACTGAAACGTGAGTTACGTAGATGCCTGAAGCAGATGCTCAGAATGTCAAACTGACATTTTAGGCTTATGCAGAATTGCACAGATCTAAAAGGGAGCATTATGTTGATGCTTTGGAAGTGCTCTTCATGAAGTAGAGCTATATATGTCCTACTCAGATGGGCTGCCTTAGGTGATCAAGACAGCTAGAGCTGAATGTATGCACCTTTTCCTCTGCACTAAGGTTGTGAGTTGCAGTTGCCAACCATTGAAAGAAATTTATTGGAAGAAAGTTAGTCCTAGTGCTGCCTTGAAGAAGGCCAGGGCCATCTGCACCCTTAGTCAGAGTCTGGAGATGACATGCCGTGTCGAGTGTCTCTTCCAATAGCCACTGCTGTATGGTGACTTATCAGAGGCAGATTGAGAGCATGTGTTCTTGTACTACAGCTTGCTGTGGTCTCCTCTCTCACCAGTCAGCAAAGTGGAGAGTTTTGACAAGGAGGTTTAACAGCAGCCAAGGTCCTTTTAGGGTGGAGGGGAAGGTAATCCATAGTAGAGCCCAAGTCCTGCTTCCAACCGGTCTTTTGTGGCAAGGTGACACCAGCTCATCTGGTGTCAGTTCAAGAACTGGTCACCCAGGGAACACCCAGGACCCTTCTCTTTGTCCTGGCCTGGGACTTACTGGTGGCAGCTCAAAGCTTGCTGTGAGACTGGCAAAGGATTAACGTATCTTCAGAGTGTTGTCCAAACGCCTCCTCTGTAACTCCTTCTTGACTCTGGAAAAAGCAGGACCTGAAGTCAGTACTGATTAGCAAGTTGTAAGTTTATCCTAAATATTACACTTTGATCAGAGTGTCAAAGCCCCACAAGGCTGGCTGCTGTTTACACATCTCTGAAGATCATTGCTGGTGTGTTGGCAAATGAATGATTTCACTAAGCTGCATCATTGCTTGTGTAAGGGAACGTGACACATCAGGAGTATGACAAGGTCCTTGCCTGTGCTGTGACACAGATGCTGATGAACTGGTAAGTTGGGAGGGCAAACAAACCCTTCATCTGGATGATAGCGCGGGTGGGGGCAGGGGGTCACAAGCTGAAGCCCAGCAGGTCGGCGTGTCACCCTTTTAGATCAGCAAGGACACAGACATCTACTGCTGGTGAAAGGACCTGTATGAAAGGCGCAGGATTGTTTTGTTTGGGGGTTGTCCCTGGAAGAGTACATTTCAGCCTTAGGGCTTTGAAAAATGGATAGGAAAAGAAAATGCTGCTGTGGAAAAATGTTTTTCCATAATTCCTGGGGGTCCTGGCATCCATAACAAAAGTGACTTTATAACAAACATGCATAATACTGAGCAAACGTTGTCCTTGGTGCCAGACGACATTATGTGGTTGCTCTCCAAAGCCTTACTTTGCAAATGCTGTGTTATTAACTGTGGGGAGGGCGGCCCCGTTGTTCCTCAGGAACAAGAGCCACCTGGTTG